AAGACAATGAGTCCCTAATCTTCCAAGTATGAGAACCCCTTTTAAAATATCATTTGTCAGATTCTTACTTCATAGTACAATTATTATATATTGATTGAAAAAGTCATATTATGCTGCTGTGGTTTCACTAATGTATTTTCCTCAAAGGCAGCAATGGAAAGAGACAGATGTGTTCAGTCTTTAGATAATGCTCGCTGTGCATACATTCTCAATCTCGTAAAAAGTCTGTGCCCACAGAGTTGTATACATCACTGATCTCTGAATGTGGGTTCACAGAACAAGCCATCAGTATTAAGTTTTTTAAAAATTAGAACTTCTCTTTATTATAGTCCTTCATCTTGAAAAAGGCAAATTGCTTTTAATACGGTGATTGGCCCTGGCTTCCCACACTGTTAGTAGGTCCAGTGTGCTGATGAGAGATCCTAAGGAAGGGTGGAATTTTCACTTCCTCACTTATATTCGTCATCGTCGTGATTGAAGTGTACCTGTGATTATGTTGATTTTCATGTGATTAGGTTTTAATGAAGCTGCTTCAAAAAGTGAGCAAGTGACTGAAAAAGACTCCTATCAAAAAAGATTGATTGTAGTTATAATAAAGCACACACAGGCATACACATAAAAAATGTTAGAACTCCTAATACCAGTATAAGCTCTCATTCTGGGGTAAAAACTATGATACAATCAGATTGAAATATCAAATGCAAAAAAATCTGAGATTGTTGAGGAAGATTGTTTGAAATATGGATCTATATTATTGGAACTGTACCTTGCCTGAGGTACAGTGTTGTTTGACATGTAACTAAATGATAGCATGAAATCATAACAAGTTAGCAAGTCATTTAAAAATTAGGCATCCTGAGTATAAAAACCTTTGAGGTTTTTTTTCCCCAGAGATGTTTGATAAAGCCATCAGTAGAGTGCAAAACTGCACTAAATTATAAATGTTTACAAGGCCCTTTGAGGTTTCTTTTGAACAGTAAAAGATAGTGATGTCACTGGGGAAACCCTTATTTTTTCTGTCTTGGTCAAAATGACAGAAATAACATGGAATGTATGGCAAAAAATTAAAACACATTTCTTTGTCATCAAATGCCTTTGAAACATGCAGTATTTCAGTATACAGTGCTGATGTGAAGAAACCAGTATCAGAATAATTGTACATTGTGGAAGATTTGCTTTACGATTGATTTTATTTTAATAAAATATAGATGTTGTAACATACTTTCTCCTTAGTGTTTGCTAACTTGTGTTTCAGTAATAATGACTGTTTTTGGGGGGTGAGTAGCAAAAGCAAAGAGATGCTAGGCAAATGTATATTTTCAGTAGTAAATGACTTCTTTAACAAAGACAACCTTTTATGGAAGAAAGTCATAGTTACTTAAGGTAAAAATCATTTACTCCATCATTCATAGGTAAATTACTGCAGCAAAGAAATTGAACCAGGAGTTTATAAAGGGCTGTTAGTGTGCCATCAATGTAGTTAATTTTATAAAAACAAGACCTTTAACTTTAAAATAAATACAGTAGGTTTTGGGGACACCTGGGTGGCTCAGTTGGTTGAGTGTTGGACTCCTGATTTTTGGCTCCGGTTGTGATCTCAGTGTTGGGGGATTAAGCCCCACCCACCTTGTACTCCTCACTGAGTCTGCTTGGGATTCTCTGTCTCCCCTCCTTCTGCAACCCACCCTCCCCCCCGCTCCCCCTTTCCTTGTTGGCACGTGTGCGCGCTCTCTTTCAAATCTTTAAAAAAATAAATCTAGTTTTTACAGTGCTTATATGAGAAATGATCAAGAAATACATTTTACTGCATAGAAGTTTGCTGATTATCTCATAGCAAAGTTCTTTGCTTTTGAAAAATAATACAACTTAAAATAGAAGTTGCTAATTCCACAGCAGTATGCAGATACTTTTAGATAAAAGAGAATACACACACACACACACAGACACACACAATCTTCCCATTAAGGATAAAGGTTACTTACCAAGAAGGTAACTATTTTAAAGGAAGTAGTGTTAGCAAATGAGCATTTGGGAAATAAACCTTTGGAAAGGTAATGGTTTTGTGTATTTTTTTTTTAAAGATTTTATTTATTTATTTATTTATTTATGCACACGTGAGCACGAGCGGGGAGAGAGGCAGAGGGAGATAGAGAGGGACAAGCAGATGCCCCGCTGAGCCAGGAGCCTGATGCGGGGCTCTACACAGGGCTCAATCCCAGGACCCTGAGATCATGTCCTGAGCTGAAGTCAGACGCTTAACTGACTGAGCCACCCAGGTGCCCCTGTTTTGTGATTTTTGTTGGAAAAAAAAAGATCATGTATGGTAACTGTCAGATTTGCATACTTTAAGTACTTGGGAATGTTGGTATATATTCTAGGAAAACTCTACAATAGCACTGTTTTATTTTAAAAAATGAAAAATAACTCATATTCATTGATAGTAGAATAGATAAAAATTGTACATGAGTATATAGTGGCATATAGTGAACTATGGCTCTGTATCAATGTGGATGAAGCTCAGAAAATATAGTGGTGAGCCGAAACCAAAAATACTGGAGTAAACATTTATCGTACTTCACATCAATGTATAGTGTCAAACATATTAAAACTATGCCTCAGATGGTTAAACTACAAGGGATACTGATGATAACATTCAGGATAATAGGATGCCTCAGTGGTCTTGATAATGTTCTACTTCTTAAATTGTATGGTGGGTACATAGGTGTTCATTTTATTACTCTTTGGCCAAATGTATACATTATGTAAACTCTCATATATGTGATATTTCATGTTTGAAAAATTAAATCAGGGGCACCTGGCTGTCTCAGTCAGAAGGTGTTTTGACTCTTGATGTTGGGGTTGTGAGTTTGAGCCCCATATTGGGTGTAAGAGATTACTTAAAAATAAGTAAAATACAAAAATCATTAAGGGACAACCCCAACTTTAAAATATCAATGTGGGACTTAAAAATGACCAATTTGTGGGGTGCCTGGCTGGCTCATTCGGAACAGCATGCAGCTCTTGATCTCAGGGTTGTAAGTTCGATCCTCACGTTGGGTATAGAGATTATTTATAAATAATATCTTTAGGGGCACCTGGGTGGCTCAGTCAGTTAGGCATCCGACTCTTGATCTCAGCTCAGGTCTTGATCTCAGGGTCATGAGTTAAAGCCCCACGCTGGGCTCCATGCTGGTTGTAGAGCCTACTTAAATAAATAAATAAAATAAAATCTTTAAAAAAAAATGACCTATTTGTGAAAGAATGCAGTCCCCGATAAAGCCAGACAGTGTACTAGTGACCTAAGCTCAGTCAGATACTCATTTCCTGGACTTTGAATCTTGAGCAAGAAACTTCAGAAGGAAACAGACAGCAGGTAGGAATCCTAGCAGTGAGAGTACCCGCAAGCAAGCAAGGCTCTTCTGGGTGTAACTTTCACAGTATTTGGCTCCTTGTTTGTTGTGAGAGTTGGGGGGTGGGTGCTCATTTGATGGTTTTCCAAAGCTGGACTTCCAGGTTCCTTTTGATTCTTAATGTTCCCTGTAGCTTTCTTTCTTTCTTTTTTTTTTTTTTTAAAGATTTTATTTATTTATTTGATAGAGACACAGCGAGAGAGGGAACACAAGCAGGGGGAGTGGGAGAGGGAGAAGCAGGCTTCCTGCAGAGCAGGGAGCCCAGTGCGGGGCTCGATCCTAGGACCCCGGAATTATGACCTGAGCTGAAGGCAGACGCTTAATGACTGAGCCACTCAGGCGCCCCACCAGCATGCTCTTTCGAAGGTCCCCATCAAAGATGTACTGGAAAAAAACAACTTTGGGTGTGTGGATGGGCTATGGAATCTGCATTTTGAGCAAATAACAAACATTTTATGGTTTTACTCTGTTTCAAGTACTGTTCTAAGCACACTACATCAACTCATTCTTCACTGCAACCCTGTGAAGTGTAGGTATTATTGTTGTGATACCCATTTGCCAGAGAGGAGGAGAAGGGAAAAGTGACTGATTAATTCACAGGAGGAATTTGAAGTACAAGTGATTAAGCACTTTACTCAAGGTCACATGGCTAGTGAGTTTTAGGGCCAGGATTGTAGGTGGGAAACTACCAGGGCATCTGCATGCTTATTTGGAGAACCACCACTCTAGTCCAGGTCATTTGAAATTGGAAAAGCTTTATTCTAAAATAATAGTGAAGTCAGGAGGGAGAGGGATGCATAGGAGTACTTTATAATCCTGTCTATGGATTGTTAAGTCTGTCAGCACTGAGTAGAAGTTGTCCTAATGCTACTTCACGGATTAGAAAACACAGCAATGTTAAGTATGTTCTATAGCACATCATTAAACTTATATTGTTTTAACAGACTCTAAGTAATAGATTTCAGTCAATCCAAGTAGTTTTTAATTTGATAAACAGTAAAGCTTTGACAAAATCAGATGTTTGTAGAATGGAGATTTTATGTTTTGATTAAATTTCGGGGTTGTCCGGATCACTGGGGGAAAGTATCTCACAATACATGCTTTTGGAAGTCTTTCTGAAATATATTAAAGTACCTTAATATATTAGAAAAGATGTAATACCATTCTGAATATTCTGATGGTTCAGTCTTCTATATTGAACCCTGAATTCTCTTATAAATTGAGTATTTAAGAAAACTTAAGCAGGTTGTGTTTCTTAGTTTTCCTTTGCTGGTACAGTGCTTTTCAACTTACTGCACATCGAAATCACCAGAGAGGCTTAAAAAAAAATACTGATATCTGGGTCTCATCCCTAGGGATTCTGATTTAATTGGTCTGATGATTCTAATGTGCTAGGATTGAGAAACCACTGTTCTAGAATAAGGATATATGGGGAAATTTTCTTGGTTTCTTTTTTGTTGTTCCAGTAAATTCAGATAATACTGAAAAATATATTTGAGATAGGCGTTACTAGAGAATAGATGGAATATTGTAGATAATCCTTTGACAGATTTAAACATATAACCCTTGACAATTTTTGTTTTCTTTCAGATTCATTATTAAACATGGGTGCATTTTTGGATAAACCCAAAACTGAGAAACATAATGCTCATGGTGCTGGGAATGGTTTACGTTATGGCCTGAGCAGCATGCAAGGATGGAGAGTAGAAATGGAAGATGCACACACAGCTGTTGTAGGTATTCCTCACGGCTTGGAAGACTGGTCATTTTTTGCAGTTTATGATGGTCATGCTGGATCTCGAGTAGCAAATTACTGCTCAACACATTTATTAGAACACATCACTAATAATGAAGACTTTAGGGCATCTGGAAAATCAGGATCTGCTCTTGAGCCCTCTGTGGAAAATGTCAAGAATGGCATCAGAACTGGCTTTTTGAAAATTGATGAATACATGCGTAACTTTTCAGACCTCAGAAACGGAATGGACAGAAGTGGTTCAACCGCAGTGGGGGTCCTGATTTCACCTAAGCATATCTACTTTATCAACTGTGGTGATTCACGTGCTGTTCTGTATAGGAATGGACAAGTCTGCTTTTCTACCCAGGATCACAAACCTTGCAATCCAAGGGAGAAGGAGCGAATCCAAAATGCAGGAGGCAGCGTAATGATACAACGTGTTAATGGTTCATTAGCAGTGTCTCGTGCTTTGGGGGACTATGATTACAAGTGTGTTGATGGCAAGGGCCCAACAGAACAACTTGTTTCTCCAGAGCCTGAGGTTTATGAAATTTTAAGAGCAGAAGAGGATGAATTTATCATCTTGGCTTGTGATGGGATCTGGGATGTTATGAGTAATGAGGAGCTCTGTGAATTTGTTAAATCTAGGCTTGAGGTATCTGATGACCTGGAAAATGTGTGCAATTGGGTAGTGGACACTTGTTTACATAAGGTATGTAAGTCTTTTTGTTATAATTAAAATACCCTGTTAATTTTGAAAAGGCACGGTAAGTACAATTAACCAGACTTAAATTTAAAAAAAAACTTTTCATTAGGGAAAATCTGTATATTTTTAAATTACTTTCTTCACCAGAATTTTTTTTTTTTTTTTGGCCAGCCTTGTTTGCCTCAACCTTCTAGTTTGAAGATTAATAAATTTGTGGCATTTGTTGTCATTTAAGTACTTTATGGCTTGTTGCTGTGGCTGAGGCATCTATATAGAATTGTGCCTTTTGATTTAAATTCTCAGTATTGGCAACAGAGGTCTCATGCCTAATTTTGAAGCAGTTTAATGAATTATGTATATGATATATTTCTGTAATAAATATACAAAAGATCAAAAGCCATGTATAATATTGGAAGATAAACCAGAGACCTAGGCTAGGTCAGGTTTTGTAATTTAGATCTGAGCCTCCTAGCAGCTAAGATGGAAACTGAAGTAAAAGTGTAAATTGTGTATTTCTTATTGTTTAGTAAAAGAAGCTCTATCCTAGCAACAAAATCAAAAAAGAATTTAAATGTCGCTTTATATAAGTGTTACATGACATGGTAGAGCATATCTTAACTTTTGTAGAAGATTTCTTTTTGTATAGATGTTTTTGTCGTCACTGATTAAAAACCAAAGAGTAGTATAAAATATAATGCTGGAAAAATTCCTGTGGATCAGTAACATTTAATTTAGTTTTGTAAGGTCCTGTGAATCTTAACTTGAGATAGTAATAGAGAAAGCAAATCCAGACTAACAGACATTTAGCAATTCCCTTGAATGTTTTTAAAATATTCAGTAGTTTCAGGTGGGTTTTTGACAGTGCCTATATAGCAATCAGTTAAAATTTGAGTTATCTGGCCAGTGCCTAGAATATGTGAGTATTGTATGACTCTGATTAAAAAGATATCAAGGCAAAACTAACCTTTGGCTATATGAAATAAAGGTTTTGACTTACTTATTCTGTCTAGATTAGAACTGTTCTTTCTCCCCACCACATAAGTTTCTTTGGGAGGTACAGACACAGCCAGAAAGTTTCGGAAGTTCTGAGTCTTTGGAAATACCCAGATTTTGGTGAAGTGTCTACTTCTTTTTCATAGAATGGGAAGAGACAACTTCAGATAGAGAAAATTTAAGGGCTGGTGTTTCCAGTTGGCAGCTTTTTTCTGAAAGGATTTTAAATGATGGTTCCTTTAGCTTTTCAAAGGTTTTTGGTTTTTGGTTTTTTTGTCTTTTTTCCCTTAAGCATACTGTATACCTTTTTTTTTTTTTTTTTACTTCTCTGGATAGGTTAATTACAAAAGTATTGATGGTTGTCAGTGATCGAATAGGCTCTAAAAATGTCTTCCCTTTGGACTCCACGTGGAGAGATTCTGACCTGTAGCTTTTTGAGACAAAAGCAAGCAGATGTTTTTTTGCCTGACTAGCAGATGAAGACAGCATTTTCCCTGATTATAAAACAAGTATATACTTAGCTATTAAAAAAAAATTCCAGGTAATCCCAGACATATAAAGAAACATTCAAAAATTTTGCCACTCACTGAAGTTGGCTCCATTCATTGGTATATATCTTTCCAGTCTTTTTTGCCTGCCTGTTAGTATGTATATTTTTATAAAAAGGAGATCATTATACTTGTTATTCTATGGTATGCTTTTTTGTGCAACAGTACGTTGTAGCGAGATCTCTATGTCTGTAGGTATCAGTCTAAATCATTTGTCATGATTGTATTGTATTTTGTTGAAAGAATGGCGTGTTGTTTTGAAGGGAATAGCCAAAAATCAATTTGGAGTAAAAGAGAAGCTTGTATTGTGGATAAACTGCACTCTCCCTTCCATTGAAAGGATGTTCGTTTTCAGGAATTTTGACCCCACCCTTTTGGAGGGGGTCAAATGATTCTGGTGGCGGATCTTTGCTTGACATCTTTGATCAGTAATTAAATATTCCTGGTGATGGTATTAAATATCCTGGATTCCTAGAATCTCAGAAATGATAAATGACAGTAATAGGGACAAGAGGTTGGAACCCATGAGTCATTCAATTTTAGTGGAAGTTGGCCACCATAGTTCCTTAGAATGAAGCTGCATTCAAATTGAAGTCAGTTTTTTGGTTTTATTTTTAATTAGAGTGGGAGTGTGCACTGGAGGGTATAGAGGGAGAGGGGGGGGAGAGAATCTCAAGCAGATTCCCGAGTGCGGGGTCTCAGGTGGGGTGTGGGGCTCCCTCTCACAACCTGAGATCGTGACCTGAGCTGAAATCAGGAGTTGGATGCTCAACTGACTGAGCCACTCAGGTGCCCCAAGTTGAAATCATTTTTTTTTTGTTTTTAAGATTTTATTTATTTGACAGAGCAAGAGAGCACAAGCAGGGGGAGCAGTAGAGGGAGAGGAAGAAGCAGACTCCCCGCTGAGCAGGGAGCCCCATGCGGGACTCGATCCCAGGACTCCGGGATCATGACCTGAGCCAAAGGCAGATGCTTAACCATCTGAGCCACCCAGGTGCCCCCAAATTGAATCAGTTTTGAGAAGCTTAGTTAACTTTTGTGTTGAAACATAACAGACCTATGAATATTTTGAACCTTTGCATGTTAGAACTTCTTACCCATTTCTTTTTCTAACTCCATAATTTGTCACTTGTTTGTAGTGTAAAACGAGGGATTAGCAGTGTTATAAAACAATATGATTAAAATAGGGTATGATTGCTTTGAACTTTGAAAGATTGAATACAAAATTTTAAAATCCATGGAAAGCACTTTAGCTCAGTGCTTGGCACTTAGCGATTGCTCAGTAGGTGCTAGCTACTTCAGGAGGAAAGAGAGTAGATCTGATATTTAAGTAGAAGATTCCCTGATAATAGATTTAAATGATGTGTTAATATTTTCTAACACTTATAACACTTGTCATGCCCTAATAGTTTACAAGCATTTATATGTTAACTCATGAAATCTTGGGAGATTGTGATAATCGTCATAATCACAATAACATTAGTAAATTATTGCTTTCTATGAGCCAAATGCTATTCTAAGCACTTTACACATACCTTAATGCATTTAATTTTCACAACAACTATAAAAGGTCGTTAGCATTGGGGTGCCTGGGTGGCTCAGTCCTTAAGCGTCTGCCTTTGGCTCAGGTCATGATCCCAGGGTCCTGGGATCGAGCCCCGCATCGGGCTCCCTGCTCCGCGGGAAGCCTGCTTCTCCCTCTCCTGCTCCCCCTGCTTGTGTTCCCTCTCTCTCTGTGTCTCTCTCTGTCAAATAAATAAAATCTTTAAAAAAAAAAAAAGGTAGTTAGCATTATTATTGCTAATGATAATCTTTTTCAGGATTGCCACTTAGGAATATGAAGCAATAAGTGTTGGATGACTCCACTCAGGCATTACTCTCTTAAGATACGTAACTCTAGGAGAGAATAGTCCCTAAGAAAGCAGTCTTCCTATTTTATTGCCAATGCTAGTAGCATTCATGGTATTTACGCTAATTCAGGTTGCATAGACTACATAATTGCTGTTTGCATAGCCTTTCATAACTTATAAATAACACTCATTTGTCCTCCTAGTAGCCTGAGATGAACGAAATAAAAATCCATTTCTAATTTGCAAGTAAGGAAATAGAGGTTTGACATTAAAAGATAGCTGTTAAGTCATATTTTGATGAGTGTTGAAGCCAAGACTAGAACTCACATTTCCTGATTCAAGTTTGATGTGTCTGTTGCCAATGTTTCACAGAGGGTTTGATGAAAAAGTTTTTCCGAATGGAAATACTAAGAGTTCTCTTTTCTTTTTTCAATAATTACAAGATTAATAAGAACATTTGTGAGCAAATCCGAAGATGTTTGTATTTCTGTCCTTTTTAAAAATATCGTCCCCCTTAAGCAGCCACATATTCTTCCACATAATTCTGTGTTTATTCATACAAACATATAGAAATATAAAAATAGGGTTTTCTTTCCCTTCCTTTTTGTTTTTTGTTTTTTACAGAAATGGATCATATTATGCATGTTACTTTGCCACCTTTTTCTTAAATTGTAAAAGTCAATGTTCCTTTAAATTGTTTTATTTTTTCTTTTAAAATACTATTTGATTTTCCTGAATTCAGCTTATACACTTACCAGAAGCTTATTTATTTTAAGACATGAGATAGTATCTGATAGTTGGATAAAATTGAGGGAAAATTTCAGCTCACAACCTGAGCTGAAACCAAGAGTCAAGACCTCCATTGTCTTCAAGTTGAATTTTACATACATTGAATTTTAGGAGGTGGTGGCAAAAGTTTTTCAGGGCCTTTGTGTCTTTTTGGCTTATTTTCCAAAGGCCGCGCCATTCCAGATTAGTAATAGAACATGAAAAATGTACCCATATACCCCCTAAAATTGTTTAGCTCTAAACTCAGGAGTTTTTCTGTTACAGCTTTCAGAAAATATAATTCTAAATAACACAAAAGTAGACATAAATAGTATTAGAGTGGAGTGTGGTTGGGTATTTTGGAGTATGGAAGGGAAGGACTGAATGTAAAAGTATAATCTATAGTGTAGCAGTTCCCAAACTTTCTTGGTCCCATGGTGCCGAGTATCTCAGAATTTTTTCGTAGTGCTACTTAGCCATATTAATACTTAGCAGATACAAGTATTATATGGTTAGAGCCAAACTTAATGAGTATATATATGTCTTAACAAAATAATACATATACATTGAAAGAATCTTTTATTTCATTCTTTAAGAAACTGCAGTTACAGGGACACCTGGGTGGCTCAGTTGGTTGTGTCCAACTCTCGGTTTCAGTTCAGATCATGATCTCACAGTGGTGGGATTGGTGGTGGGATTGAGCCAGCGTGGGGCTGTGTGCTCAGTGGGGTGTCTGCTTGGGATTCTCTTTCTCCTTCTCCCTCTGCCCCTTCCTGCCCCCCCCCCCGCTCATATTCTCTTTCTTTCTCTCTAAAATAAATAAATCTTTAAGAAAGAGAGATACTGCAGTTACATACTAACAAGATAATGTGTACCTGTTCACTGCACAGCTTCTCAGATCTTGGAATCATTGGTCACAGCCACCCTCATTTCCTGTATCACGTTGACTTTTTTTTTTATGGGACTTGCTTTTTATCATAGCAACTCTCAAAACCCCGGCTTTGAAAAGATTGGATGTCCTTGAGAGGAATATAGTGTTATCCGATGTTAAAACTGAACTACTTCACACTAGTTTGCAGGGTAGCCACAAATGTGGAGTATCACTCTGTTTCCCCTCATTTTTAATATCTCTGTGAGTACACTGTAGCATTCTGGGGCTTTTTTTTTTTTTTAAGATTTATTTATTTTAGAGGTAGGGTTGGGGGAGGGGTAAGGGGAGAGGGAGAGAGAATCTTAAGCAGGCTCAGGGCTGGGTGCAGAGCCTTGGAGCAATGGGTGGGTTCGATCCCACAACCCTGAGATCATGACCTGAGCTGAAACTGAAAGAGTCAGTTGTTCAACTCTCTGGCCAGCCAGGCGCCCCTGAAAGTCATCTTTATGTAGAAATAGAAGAAGCATCATTGGAATCACACAGAGCTGAGGTGTAAATGTAAATTATTTCCTTTATTTTTTTGTTATGTAAACTTCCTGAAACTATCTTTCAGTTAATTTCCCAATTGATAAGATGTAATTTTTGTAACATAGAAACCTAATGGAAATTGTGTGTTGTGTGTGTGTGTGTTTGTAACTTTAATTATCTCTGGTATAAAGCTTTTGCCTGACCTGAACTTATATGGTCAATCCTGATCCCTGTAGAATGTATTGATTCTTTTGGGGGATGGGGGGAGGATGCTGTTTGGAACCATAGTGTGTTTGTGTGGTTATGTATATATATTCATACAGCCAGTGCATATTTTCTAATATGAAGTCATTGTGAAAGTCTTGGTGGATTTCATGAAAGAATGAAATTAGTTTGGGCCAGTTCTGATTTTTTTTGGAAATCCTGATTTTTTTTTTCAGATATGGAGAATCTGGTTATATACTCATGATATTTTTTCCCACTAAAGCATGGGAGTCTGTGGAAAGAGTTACTCTTTTTGAAGCCTTCTTAAGGCCTGACCTCCACTGTCTTCAAGCTTTGCTACATTGAATTTTAGGAGGTGGTGGCAAAAGTTTTTCAAGGCCTTTGTGTCTTTTTGGCTGTGTCACATGGGTTCCAGAAAGGTGGCAAGCCTGGACCAGACAATGCCTGCCTAGATTCTGGCCATAATGACTGAAAAGACTAGAATGGGTATGGCCTTAGCTTTTTTTCACTTGGGTTGGCAAACTGCACCATCAGACAAAAGTAGCCTACCACCTCCATTGACTTAGTTTATTTTGGGGGTGGGGGGAGTTGAAACAGTCACTGTTCTAAGAAACTTAGTTAAAGTAATATACCTATAGGAAAAGCTACGAGAAGATTTTATTTCTCGTAATCTCACGGTAATAGTGCTACTTTTAAAATATAGGGGGTGCCTGGGTGGCTCAGTTGGTTAAGCGACTGCCTTGGGCTCGGGTCGTGATCCTGGAGTCCCGGGATCAAGTCCTGCATCGGGCTCCCTGCTCGGCGGGGAGTCTGCTTCTCCCTCTGACCCTCCCCTGTCTCATGCTCTCTTTCTCTTTATATCATTCTCTCTCTCAAATAAATAAATAAAATCTTTAAAAAAAAATAAATAAAAATATAGATCATTTGTCTATAGTAGTGTGATTACCAAGGCGACAGTAAAATTTGTCCCTAAGTTAGCAGTTTTGGCTCCCCTCTGCAGACTGACACAATTTTTGATTCTATATAATGATCTGGTGTCTTTTCTCCACAAGTTATATCTGACTACAGTATCTCAGTCATCCAGTTACCTTCCGTTGTTTGCTGCTTTATCCTCAGAACAGTTTACAATCTGTTTTCTTTTCTGCTTGTAATTGTTCAGTAGTGTCTTGGGTATCCTAAATGATCATTAATTTTCAGCTATGTCAAATTCAGTAGAGTTTTGCTAGCATTGCTCTGATGCGGGTTAATTAGCTAGGTGAAAATGGCACATTTGTTTGAGAACATGTGTTTTTGGGCATAAGCCACTTTGGGAATATGCAGGTTGAGTGGGAAACAGAGTTTAGAAGATGTAATACATATGAAGGTATCTTCATTTCTTAGGTTGTAGAGTGCTGGTGGGTAAGAATAGGTACACAGAATTAAAAGTCATAAAATAATTACAGATCTGCCCATATCTAGAGATCTTGTTTCTTCAGGGAATGCTTCAAATAGTTCTTTAGAATGGAAATTAATGCGTTTAATGTGTACATTCTGGTGATTTAAATAAACTATAATTGCTTAATGTAATTAACTGTTGTGAATGAAATAATAGAAAGTTGCTGGACTATGGAAATCTAATTCTTTCTTTTTCTTTCTTTAAAATACAGGGAAGTCGAGATAACATGAGTATTGTACTAGTTTGCTTTTCAAATGCGCCCAAGGTCTCAGATGAAGCAGTGAGAAAAGATTCAGAGCTGGATAAGCACTTGGAATCACGGGTTGAAGGTAAGTAAGGAAGGTGATTTTTTTTTTTTTCATTTAGAAGGAAAGGGAGAGTATTCTCCCTTGTTTATCAAATAGTTCTTTTAGAATTAAGAAAACGATTAAGTATTTCAAAACAAGGCCTTAAAAAACAAGCATCTCTCTGCCTAAGATTTACTATCACATCTTGGACCAATGTGTGGGAATTTATTGGCAGGGAGAAGACAAATATGCCTATTATACCACCAAAGATAGAACAAAAAGAACAAATATGTCTATTATACCACCAAAGAGAAACATTTGAAAATAGTCTGTTAAATCTTGCCATTTTATTTCCTCTTTCCCTGATTATACTTTTAGTAGTGAAGAGTCCAGTGAAATTTGCCTCAGGGCTTATCATGAACATCAAGTGCTCTAATTCCACTAACACTAATTTCTCCCAAGTTAATCATAGGAATTCATTATACCATATGTTTTTATCTTACTGGTAAGAGTCAGCATTGATGTTGTGAGAGAGAATTGATTTTACAGTTGACCCTTGACCAGCATGGGCGTTGGGACTGCAAACACACCCACTCTCCCCACCTTCCCCTCCCACTCTCCCCCTCAGTTGAAAATGTACATTTACATCCCCCAAAACTTATTTACAGTAGTCTACTGTTGACCGGAAGCTTATTTTGTATGTGCTATATATGCTATATATGTATATGTGTGTATTTTTACAATAAAGTAAGCCAGAGAAAAGAAAATGTTATTAAGAAAATCATAAAGAGAAAATATATTGACGGTAGTGTACTATATTGTAAAAGCCATAAATAAAAATATTAAAAAAGCCATATATAAGTGGACCCACACAGTTGAAACTTAAGTCATTCACGGATCAACTGTACTTATTTTTTTTAACTTTTTATTTTGCAGTAATTTTAAACTTAAAGAAAAGTTGAAAAAATATAGAGAGCTCCCATGTACAATGTAGTACCTTTTACTAGATTTCCCATTTGTTTACAATTCATTTGACTCCTCTGTTTTCTATGACATACACACTCATTCTTTTCTCTCTCTCTCTTTCACTGTGGCAATGTCTGCAGACATATTTGGTGTCATAACTGAGAGGGTGTCACTAGCCTATAGTGAGGAGAGGCCGCGGGTGTTGCTTAACATTTTGTAATACACAAGACGGCCTCCACCAAAAAAAAAAAACAAAAACAAAAACGATGTGGCTGATCCAAAATGTCAGTTGTGCCAAGGATGAGAAATCCTGTACTATAGAGATACAAGTATAAGGCAGAAAGATGACAGTCCTGCCTCCAAGAAGCTTGCAATCTGTGATAGAGTAAACAGCATCTACAGTGGAAATTACGTAGCAGTGCACCGACTTGAGGCTTGGGTTGGAGAAGAATTTGAGAAACTGACACGTGAAGTTGAAACCTGAATATGAGCGAACTATACAAAATGGGTGGGTTGGGGGTGCCTGGGTGGCTCAGTTGGTTAAGCGACTGCCTTCGGCTCAGGTCATGATCCTGCAGTCCCCCGGGATCGAGTCCCACATCGGGCTCCCTGCTCAGCAGGGAGTCTGCTTCTCCCTCTGACCCTCTTCCCTCTCATGCTTTCTATCTCATTCTCTCTCTCTCAAATAAATAAATAAAAATCTTTAAAAAAAAAAACAAAAAATGGGTTGGTTGGAATGGCATAAATTGTGTTTCAAATCAAAGGAAAAGCACATGTGAAGATTAGAAGTAGGAGAAGGCTTCTCTGCATAGTCTTTATGGAGATAGAGGGGAGTCAGGGGCAGAGTCAAATGGGAGTGGTGAGGTTACGGTGATGGCGAGGGCCTCATGAGGCATGGTGGCTGCTGAGGACACTGCTTTTTTGTTGTCTTAAAAGTAAGTTGGCATCCTCTGATTTTTGAGGAGTTTATGTCTTAATACTGGCCAAATAATCATGCTCTAAAGATGTATTTTTCATGAGTTGTAAATATAGATGGAACGTGTAAATGTTTTATTTTGTTCTAAGCCTTAGCCAGTTCTGTGATTTATTTTCCTTTTTTAATTTTATTTATTTATTTTAAAAGATTGTATTTATTCAAGAGAGAGAGAATGAGTACAGGGGAGGGGCAGAGGCAGAGGGAGAAGCAGGCTCCCCACTGAGCAGGGAGCCCCATGTGGGGCTCCATTCCAGGACCCTGGAATCATGACCTGAGCCAAAGGCAGATTCCTGACTGACTAAGCCACCCAGGCGCCCCACCTTTTGTATTTTAAATTGTTGTGGAACATAACTACCTTGGGATCAAAAAGCTTATAAAACAGCATGGATGGACCTAGAAGGTATTATGCTAAGTGAAATAAGACAATGTTTCATTTCCATGTGGAATCTAAAAAACAAAGCAGAAACAGACTCATAGGTGTGGGGAACAAGCTAATGGTTGCCAGAGGAGGGGTAGGCAAACTAGGTGGAGGGGACTAAGATATAAACTTCCACTTATCAAAGAGGTCACAGGGCTGAAAAGTCCAGCATAGGAAATATAGTCAGTAATATTGTACTAACATTGTATGGTGACTACACTTACTGTGGTGAGCGTTTTATAATGTGTGTAATTGTCGAGTCACCTGAAACTAATAGTATTTGTCAACTGTTCTTCAGTTAAATAATTTTATAAAACAATTCCTAATTTTTCTCCTCCTTACAGTCCTTATTCATCTGTCACTTTTTTTTTGGAATTACAGTATTAATAACTTTTGTATTATTCTTGTATAAAATTAGATCAAAGTGTTTTTCCAGGTAGCTATCCTGTGTTCACAGGGATCATTTTTAGTGATTGTAAACCATTTCACTGAGTGGCTATACCAGAATTTTCTTAACTGTCCCTGTATTGTTGAACATTTCATTTCTTCTAGTTTTTGCTTTTATGTATGCAAATAACTTTATATTACTTTTATTCCTTGTGTGATCGTAAGATAATTGCTTTTTTTTACATTTTAAAATTGATACTACAGAAACTAATAATATACTGTTAACTTGAATTTAAATTTAAAAAATAAATAAATAAAATTGATACTATGAAATAGTTCCCCTTGTTTCACTCTCTCTGAATCCTGAGTTAACACATTAATTTAGGAATTCTTTTTAAAAACCTGCAGAAATTATGGAAAAGTCTGGTGAGGAAGGAATGCCTGATCTTGCCCATGTCATGCGCATCTTGTCTGCAGAAAATATCCCAAATTTGCCTCCTGGGGGAGGTCTTGCTGGCAAGTAAGTAGAACAAAAAGAACTAATTTTGAGTTTGTTTATAATTAGTAATTAAGTAATTTTGGGGAAGAAGTATATCAATTATCTAAAGATGAGATGGGTTGGTGGTTCCTATAGTAGAGAAGAACTTTAAAATTTCATCCAAAGGCATTTTTTTTTTTAAGGGAATTACTTATCATGTGTTTTGAAAAGGTGAAGGTTCTCTTACTTTGTGAATAAGAACAAATGGCTTGTGCTGAATCAAATTCTAAGTGAAATGTAGAAACTATGTTCTTGGCAAGCATTTAGTGTGGCAGTTAATTTTTGAGAATATTCAAGATGAAGTATTATTTTAAATACTCAGAAGCTTAGTAATTGTATGTAATTTAATAAAACTAAAGCATAATTTTTTTTAGGCGCAATGTTATTGAAGCTGTTTATAGTAGGCTGAATCCACATAGAGAAAGCGATGGGGTAAGTTTTCTTTTATTTCTTAAGCATTTAAAATAATTTTGTAATGTAAATACTAGATATGATACATTCACATAATGAAATCTGTAATAAATTATACTATGTTTCATGTTAAGGAGTCAGTTTAAGGAAATGTCTAGAAATGGAGGTAGAGATACAGTTCTGTTTTGTAGTTGTTTGTTGTCACGTAATGGGCATCAAGTACCTTTTTGTTGGGCTGTACTTATTTCCTCCCTGTATGTCTGCCTTTCCTTCTCCTTCTCCCTTGAATCTTAATTTTGAAGCAAAGAACATCCTTTTAAATATCTCACTTTCTCCTTCAGCAGGCTGCTACCATCACTAGAACTTAGTGATAGAGAAATGAGCTATTATTTTAAAGACCCGACTTTCAGTGCCCCTGTGTGCCCAGTTGAATACCTGGGGATAACTTCTTTCTTAACCTTAACGTTGCCACTGTAGGTGTTTTGTGTTGAACTAGATAACCGTTTTTGTTGTACCCTGCTGTGCTTCATCAGAGCAAAACTCTATCCTTTTACCTTCCTTAGAAATACTGATGAGCTGTCAGCTGCACCTCTGTAGTGTTTTTATCTTCGCACTAGTACCGAGAGACAAAACAGTGCCTTCTTTTTTTCTTTTTTAATTGCCCTACGTTTCAGAGTCAGTAATTTGAATAAGTATTACCTTGTAGGGTTTTAAAGTTTTTGGACATCTGTAAATGAATAACTTAATTTTTAACCATAGGCTTGAAAGATTTTAAGGGAGCCCAAGTTAGTAATGAAACTCATTAAGAAGAGAGAGACTCACCCTCCAAATCTCCAGCTCCTCGGGGCAGGTCTTGAGAGAGACATCAACCGTTGGTAGAAATGTTGTATCCTATCAGTTGAGCCGTTTTGCAGGATTCATTATTGCACAGCCATGTCCTGTCATTTCCTTTTTCTTAACAATAAAAGTATCCTTGCAAAAAGAAAAAGTTTACAATTAATACATTTTAGTGAGTTGAATAAAAGTGATACTGTATATTGTTAATAACAGGTTTTATATCTTGGTCTAGAGCAGTGGTTCTGAGTCTTGTGTCCGGGACCTCAAAGTATTAAGACTTATATCTTAAAGCTGTGAAAATTCATTTAAAAATAAAAATACGTCATGTGCTACATTTAGAGCAAACCCTAAATCAGACAAACAAGGAAAGAATGTTGACACAACTGAAAAGACCATGGTAATTGGGTGGTGGCGTGAAGAGAGGCTGATTCCTTCAGCTAGATCCTAGGTTCCACACGTGGTTAGAGGAAATAAGCCCTCAGAAGGTGTTACTGATTCAGTACTAACCATATAAGTGCTCGTGTTTCTTCATGTGCTTGAAAATGTAAGCCTGGGGTGTAAATTTGAAAAATTATCTCATTATGCCTTGCTGAATCTCTTCAAGGTCCTTCAAGAAAGTTGGCAGAGCAGCCACAATTTAAAAAAAAATGTTTCACACCCCTAAGTTAATGTTTAGGTTAATGTTTTAAACATTTTTTAAAAAATAGAAAATACTTATTATACACAGTAGCTCTCTAAACAGTGAATAAATAAACAGCAGAGCCATGAAACTGAAGAGAAATGCTCAGGATAAAAAACTGGCCTTGGATAGGATTATTATATGACTCTGTAAGTTAAGGAGATGCATACTTAATTACGTTTATATATATATAAGCTTTCTAGTAACCTCAGCAGATCAAACACGGACAAGCTATCACGTGGTGAATTGACGTAGGGAGGAGATTGTACAGAACATTAGACATGGTCCCATCTCCACGGTCAGTGCAGTTCACCATGTAGAGGTAAACACACAAGTTAGAAAGAAATGATAAAATACAGAATGTGATTAATTGCCATGTGAATTGAACAGTGCTGGGAAAGTCAGATTTGAAGAATGATTAGAATGACAGAAATGAAAGGAGGAGGATGATCCATGTAGTTCAAGTGGATGGGAGAGGCAAGAACAAAATATGAGCTATCTTTAAAGAAAGGACCTCATTTTGACTAGAGCAGAGAACTGCTGTGGTGAGAAATAAGAATTTAGGATGCCAGACGTATTTTTGGAGAGACTGGAGAGGACTTTTGAACTTTATATTTTACAGTGAGGAGCCACCATATGTTTGGAGCAGAAGAATGGTACACTCAGAGGAATATCTGTGGTATTTTAATCTGTTAGGAACATGTCATGTGCAGTGTTAGATTAAAGAGATGCTAGCAGTGAACTAGTGAAATAATTATAGAGATCAGATGATAAGTGTAAACTCATTATTAGACAGATACATGGATTGGAGAAACTTCCCTATTTACTGTAAAAACTAACTTTTGCAGCCCAGAATCCTATGTGGGAAAATATTTCTTTACCCTTTCAGAATAATCACAACCTTAGAAAAATGTTGAGCCATAGTAGAAGCAGAAATATACTAAATGTACATTAGCAGAAATGTACTAAAAAACAAAGAAGCAGGAAAAAATGAAGTAATTATAGGTATTTAATTAAATTCTTAGCTCTTAACCTGAGCTGCTGTAGCAGTGGATTAGGCACAAATGTGTTCCGTAACTTTCTCAGCTTAGGTCTGTGCCGTGTTGTAGAAGATGTGGCCGAGAAGTACAGTGGCAGGAGCTGATAGTTGGGCTTTTTTTTAATAACAAAAATAAAATTTTGTACAGATATTAAAAAAAGAAACAAGAATGCTAGGCAGAGTTAATCCGAGACATATTTAGGTTCCTAAGGTGTCTGCTTTATATCAGAGAGAGAATTACCCTGCTGTGAGTGCCTACAGGTAATACCATTAGAAATAGGGATTCATTTTTCTTATATTCAAAGAAAATCTTTTGGATAACGTATTTCAAAAAGCCAAGTGGAATGTAAGCCAGAATTTGTTTTTATAATATTCCTTTTTGTTTTTTAGTTTAGAGGTAAAGAGTGAGAGTGCATGCAGGGTGGCGGGGGGCAAAGGGAGAGGGAAAGAGAAAGAGAGAATCCCAAGCAGTCTCCATGCTCAGCATGGGACCCAACACGGGATTCTATCCCACACCCCTGGGAGCATGAGCTGAAATCAAGACACTTAACCAGCTGAGCCACCCAGGTGCCCCTGTAAGTCAGAAATTAAAACATTTAAAATATATTCAGAAAGCTCACTATTTAGGGGAGTCTTCTGAAGTTGTTTACTAAATTTGTTTTTTCAGCCTTTTGGAATATGTTCAGACTTCTTAATGCAAGCAATATTGACATTTTCCCAACTGTTAAAATCTTTGGAAAAGAGCCTAGCAGGGATTCTTAGGTGGTTTGTGAATCCCCAGAAAGTTTTTGAAAATGTGTTTGTGGACATAAGCAGTTTTTAATGAGAAGTGTAGTATGTGTGTGGTTTTCATCAGTTCCTCAAAGGAGTCTGTGACCCCAAGAGAATAATCACCTACAGGACCAGAAAAAATAAAACTGCCTTTTGCTCTACGCTGATTTTACATTAGGCAGGGCTCTGAGATCATGGCCCTTTACTTCTACAGTGCTAGGTTGGGGGCACCTGGCCGGCTCAGTCGGTAGAGCATACAGCTCTTGATCTTGGGGCTGTGAGTTCAAGCCCCATGTTGGGTGTAGAGATTACACTGATTTAGATTCTGATCTTTAAAATATACCACTAATCAGGCATCTGGGTGGCTCAGTTGCTAAGTGTCTGCCTTCAGCTCAGGTCATGATGGGATCGAGCCCCACATCAGGCTCCCTGCTCCGCGGGAAGCCTGCTTCTCCCTCTCCCACTCCCCCCTGCTTTTGTTCCCTCCTCTCGCTGTGTCTCTCTCTGTCAGATAAATAAATAAAATCTTAAAAAAATAAATAAAATATACCCACTAATCAAGTAGCCATATACATCGCTGATTTTCCAAGGGTAAAGGGGGACTTGTAATTACCAGCTGTTGTATATATATATATATATATATATATATATATATAAAGTCATAGGTGATGTCCTCAACATCCTTTTTATAGGTAAGACTAAGACTCAGTGAGAGGAAGTAGTTTGTCTAGGTTGCAAAGCTAAACAAATCGTGCAGCCAGAATGCGAATCTAAGTCAGGGGAACTCTGAAAACTATTCTCTTTACACGGTTCTTTTGTTGTCTAAGTTACTTAGAGATTACGTATACGTCTGTACCCCACCTGTCTCCTATCCACGAAAAATCATTTCCTGTCCTTTTGTGAACCTCTTTAGTAGTCTTAAGATACTCTGGTTTTAATGAAGACTGTTTCATAAAGTTTTTGAAACTAAGCAGTCAAGTCCACAGTTTTTTATCACTTGTTTTTCATTTAAAATAGGACACATTTGAATCCTAATCCAAAATCTTTTTAAGGCATTTGGATTTTTAAGAAGGGAGGAAAGGCAGGACAAAAACCCAAAAAAGTCTCCATATTGTGTTTTCACATTAAGTTTTATATATAGTCTTTTTATTTTGATCATTTCAGATAGATCAGTTATAAACATAGCTGCTTTGACGGTTTTATATTACAGTTTCACGACTAGGTGAATACTAGTGTTTTTTTTTTTGTAGATTGTTTCTTTTTCACTTGTCAAAAAGCATTTTTATAGAGAAGATCTATACTATTTGAAAATACACTAAACTTTATTTTTAAGGATGGTATGACATACCACTTCTCTCAGCTATGTGGTCTCGACCATCTAAATGATTCTTTAAAATTACTTCAAATTCATTAGATTTTACATGATCCTAGCAAATAACAGCTTATTAGATTCTTCATTGGTCACTGTTAATTCTATCTCATGAGTGCATATTTGAGGATTTTCATCTCTAAAAATTATTTTTAGCTGAAAAGCAGAAGATAGGACTCCACCAAAAACACTGTAAATGTTTATATTAGCATTCTTCACTATTTTCTCCATTGCTTTAGCTAATCATTTGAAGCATTTTGCTTACAGCAACTGCATTAAAAAAATGCTGCAAGTAAATACTAGCTAGTTAAATTTTGTCTTTTAAA